TGAATGACAGAAGTTGATAGACACATCAATGAGCTCAAAGATAAGGTAGACAAAAACCATCAGAAAAGATCAGAAGAAAAGAATTTTCAAAAATGAAAATATATGAGACTTATGAAACAACATCAGGAGAAGCAATATTTGCATCACCATAGTTCCAGAAAGAGAAGAAAGAAATAAAAGGGGGATGCAGAGGGTTAGTACAGAGAATGAGGCACTTTCTTGATGTGGGGAACCCAGGTTTGATCACCAGTATTTCATATGGTACCCCACTCCCCACCAAGGGTGATCCCTGAACACTGCTGGGTGTGGCCAAAAATTCAGGAAATAAAAGGGCAGAATTTTTAATTAAAGATATAATAGCCAAGAATTTCCTCAAAACTAAGTCAACAGATATCCAGGTAGGTCCAGAAAAACTAAAAAATCTTCGGAGAAAATAAATCCAAAAAGATTTATTTCAAAATACTATGCCATTAAAATAACAAAAAATGGGAAATTAAGAGAGAATTCTAAATGCAACAAGGGAACAGCAGAGTTACATATTAACCATCAGCAAATTTCTCATTAACTATCAGCCAATCTCTCAACACAAACTCTACAGTCCAGAGGGAAACAGCATGATTTATTCAAAGTATTAAATGGAAAGGAATTTCAACCAAGAATATTCTGCCCATCTAGTTTATCACTCAGATTTTAATGAGTGATTGGGAAAAAAAAAAAACTTCTAACAAAGAAATTCAATGTCACTAAGTTAGTACTGCAAGAAATACTAAAGGGCATTCCACAAAAGGGAAAAAAAACACTTAGAAGTGTCAAAACATTCAGATAACATAAAATGTGATAAAGAAGAAGCAGGATAATAGAGATTCTCAGGACAAGCTGGGGGGTTACTTGCTTTCAAGTTAAAATAAAAAGTAGATTCAAAGGGTGAGGAAGGCCCCATGTACTGTAGTGGAGGGATACTGACCTTCTGGTGGTAGGTGTGGTGTGGTTAAGATGTACCCCTAAAACACAAACCTATGCAATCTTATAAAAAGTAAAGTGTCCTCATCAAAATAAATAAGTAATAAAACCAGATGGTCAATGTTCAGTTTTGTGATCCTTTCCCAATCTTCGCCACATTCTGATCAATCTTAGGAAGATTTGGTTAAGTCACATCAGCATGAATGAAGAGGAAAAGCCAAAACTGTCCCTAACTAAAGTGCCTGGTTTCCTCCAACCTACAGGTGAACAGGGATATCGTGTCAGGACTGAAATATGTTCAGCATGTCTACCGAACTGGGATGAAAGGTAAGAGACAACCCACCTGCTGCTCTATTTTGAACTCCACCTCTCACTGCCATGGAAACTTCTGCTTATTAACAAGTTGTAGTCACAGCCCCAGTGAGGGGTCAGGTCAGAACCCAGAGCAGCCAAGGAACATAGCGACAGCAAAGCTCCCATTCCAGAGACCTACTTTAGACCAGGTCAGCCAGGAGTCTCCAGCATTTAGCAGCCCAAATTCAATTTAATCGCTCTGAAAGGGGAAAACTAACCAAGATAAATTTGAACACAGTTATGTGCATACAGTACTCTAGAGAGTAATTTAAAAAAAAAAATCACAGGTGTGATACCTGAGTGTCAGAAATTCCAAACAGAAATATCTAAGAACCTGTGCTTGGTGGGGACAGAAGCTGAGAGTGGCACAGGGTGGGGATGGGAGTGGTGAGGAGTCAGAGCTTAAGTTCCTGACAACATTTCAGCTTCGTTTTCCATTTCTTCCTTCTTCTCCACCGTTGGGGGGTGTGTTTTGTTTTGGTTTGCATTTTTTTCTCCACAGTTAGAAAATATCCTTTTTCTGGAATTGAGCAGAAGCTGTCTAATTGATGAAAATCCTAGGACAGTAATCTAAAGTTCTTCTTGACAAATTGCATATAACTTGGTCATGCATTTGTGTGTGAGTGTGTGTGTGTGTGTGTGTGTGCACGCGCACGCATGCGCGTGTGTGTACACCTCATGTACTTAACGAGCAAGGAGAAAGGTGAAAGGGAGAAAGATGAAAACCGGTTTTTCCAGTTTATTGCTACCCAAGGGCCTCTCTGCACCCCCAGAAACAGCATGTCCCCAAGTGCAGTTCTAGCCAATCAATTAACATGGAGAGAACTTGTATTATGGGTATGCATGACCTCTAGATTCGTTCAGTTATTCAAATCCCACTGAAGATTTGGTCTTTCCAATACAAAGTCTCCTGAAGGGAATATTTTTATTTTCCTTTGGGCTTAGGCCATACTGACTGGTTTCAGCAAGTGTCTAAAACTGCTCCTTCAAACTTTCGGCACTTAACTTCCAAGACACAGTGTCTGCCCTTGCATCTGCCTGTGAACATTGCTAAATTTCTAATCCCTTTCTGGGATGAGATTTTTGAAAACACTGCTTCTTGGGGTTCACACCTGGATGGGTTTTTGGGTTTTTTTTATGTTTTTTTGGCTTGGGGGCCACAGCTGACTGTGCTCAGGTCTTAATCCTGGCTCAACAATCAGAAATCACTCCTGGCAGGTTTGGGAGATCATATGGGATGCCGAAGATCAAACCTGGGTCAGACAAAGTAAATTGCTGTACCCACTGTGCTACCTCTCCTGCCCCAATACAGCTGGTTGATTTTTGCAGAAGTCTTTGAGAGCAGGTCAAGGAGAACTATTATGAAAAGACACTCAAGGGTCAGCGAGGTTTCAGATTGGCTGCAGTGAGAGGCTGGGGATTGACGCTCAGACCCTTGTGGTCCTCCGTGTACCCCTGCTCCTTTTGACTTTGATCACCTAGTTCAAGGTCGTGCTCCAAAATCCACAATTTGCAGTGTCTCTTTTCCTCTGTCAGACACTCACCCTCATGTGCCTTTCTTTCTTCCTAGTGGATAAAGCATCATTTATGGTTGGCAGCTATGGACCCCGGCCGGAAGAGTATGAGTTCCTGACGCCGGCTGAGGAAGCTCCCAAGGGCATGCTGGCCCGAGGTACCTACCACAACAAATCCTTCTTCACCGACGATGACAAGCAGGACCACCTGACCTGGGAGTGGAACCTGTCCATCAAGAAGGAATGGACAGAATGATGCCTCTGCCCATCCCATTTCCTGCCTTTGCCACCATCCCATTCCCTTGTCCTTCCACTCTGGAAGACTCTCATAGCCCTGATCACCATCCCTTCCTTCCTGTGGGTCCCCCTGGCTCTGAAATTCTCACTCTGTCAAGTGCTTGCTGGCAGAAGAGGCTTAGAATGCAGACCTTCACTTTGCCCACTTCAAGTACCCACCAGAGCCAGATCTCTGATGCTGTCTGTCTCAGTAAACGGTGATTTCATATCAACCTCTTACTAATTGCCATCAGCACAGCCAATGGCTAAGAAATACCATGATTCACCACATTATTGTTACAGATTTCATGGTTGTTGTTGTTGTTCTGCAAAAAAGTTGGATGCAGCCATTATGTGAAGTTTATTTTCTTCATATTGTACCAGTATGACTAAAAATACAGGAATGCAATGATTATGCTCTAGTGACAGTTATGCCATGGAATGTGCAAGGTACACTATTCTTCATTGTTCTTTTGTCTTGGAGTTCTTGTTCCTACCCTGGAGAATTCTAGAGTTTTTGCTGGCTCAATGAAAGTCCCTATTCAATCGCATTTCCTGCCCATTGGTTGGGGATTTTCTTTTTTGGAGCACACTGTAAACTGCACACAAGAGTAAGAATAAAGCTGTTGGTAACATGAATGATATGCTAATTTCTCTTTCTTCCTTTGAACAAATATGGTCATGTGAATGGTTCCTGCTTTCTTAGAGGATGTGTCGGATGAGTGTCTGATCTAAGCACCCAGTGTTATTTATCCTTTGGAATATATTGGTAGCCTTTATTTCCGGGTTGGAGCAATAGCACAGCAGGTGAGGCATTCGCCTTGCACGCAACGAAACTGGCCAACCCACGTTCAATTCCTCTGCCCCTCTCGAAGAGCCTGGAAAGCTACTCAGAGTATCCCACCAGTACAGCAAAGCCTGGCAAGCTACCCGTGACATATTCGATATGCCAAATACAGTAACAAGTATCACAATGGAGACATTACTGAGCCCACTCGAGCAAATCAATGAACAACGGGAGGATAGTGACAGTGACAGTGACAGTTGGCCTAGAGAAGTTTCTCGAACAAAGCCCACTGCTATGGGAATTTCAGACATTGTCTCTCTTCTGTGTCTGGCATATCGAATACTCTCGGTAGCTTGCCGGGCTCTCTGAGAGAGGCAGAGGAATTGAACTCGGGTCGGCCATGTTGGCTGTGTGCAAGGCAGACGCCCTACCCGCTGTGCTATCGCTCCAGCCCTATGACCTTCCCATGGATTCCCACAGTCTGCAAAATGAAAGAAATACTTCCTTTCAGTATCCTGGGGCCTGCCACAGTGTTCATTCCCTTCCTTCCTAAAACCTATTTTCTAATATTTCTCTCACATATCACATCATTGTTTCTGCTGGTTCTTTCCATGGAACTGTCCTTCATTTTTAGCTACTAGCAAAATCAAATTTCCCTCGTGCAGGAAGAACACCAGTACCCAGCCCAACATTTTATCCTAAATTTCTTTTGTTCTTTCATCACACCCAAGGAGTTTAATATTCTTGATTACTTTCCACCTTCTTGGCTAATGACCTGTTTCCTTATCCAACTCTCCTATTAGTGGTCAAGGCTGGGAGGGGTTCATCTAGATCTCAGGTGTATTTGTTCACAACAGGGCAATGCCTGGTCTTCTTTGCACTCTTCTTTTTTCAATCATCAGACTTGACTTTCCTCTGGTCGGTCATGCTGACACCCTGCCACGGAACTTGGTTTCTTATCTCAGAAGGTGAAGGTTCTCCCTAGAGACAGCTGTAATGTTCCCAGAGCTCTCAAAGCACCAGTGTGGATGAACTATATAGCAGGCTGCCTAGAGTTCTGCCTTCCTGAACACCCGGTGCAGGGCTTGGACAGAAGCAGAACCTGAGCAATGGAAGCCGCCCTGTCCAGATGTTTCCTTCTGATCTTTCTCTTCACCTGTGGACTGTCCCAGAACGTGGCAGCAGAGGTTCAGGGATTCTCAGGTAAGAGAAGTATGCGTCAGGAAACCATGGGGTGGGGGGGGGCAGTGGGGTCAGGAGAAGGGAAGGAAACCTCATGTCCGGGTGCTGGGTTCTTTCCCCCTGATCCCTGCAGTGAGAGCATGACCAGGAAACACTAGACAAAGAGCTGGTCTGCACCATCCCTTGGGTAGGGCCCTTCTCCAGATGTTTATGAAATAAAGCCTTGAAAAATGAGAGCAACACCTCGTTGGTTTGATTTTGGTGGGTCCCACGGGTGGCTCATGTGAAGTGGGGAGGAGAAAGATGGTCACTTTCTCCCAGTCCACCTCTGTCACCCGGATGCAGGGTTACTGGGTTCTTGTCTCGCCTCGCAGAAAAGAATTTCAGGAGTCGACAAGCAGTGAAATTACAGTTTTTATGCCTCACAGAAAAGAATTTTAGGAGTCGACAAGAGTGAAATTACAGTTGTTATTTGGAGGGTTTTTGAAAGTGTGGAGGAGGAGAGAGAATGAGAGAGAGAGAGAGAGAGAGAGAGAGAGAGAGAGAGAGAGAGAGAGAGAGAGAGAGTAACACTTTCAACAGAGAACATGGGTTTCTCCAAGGGTGGAGAGAGCCCTTACACACATCCCAGTGATGTCGGTGGGCCCCACGGGTGACTTATGTGAAGCGGGGAGGAGAAAGATGGTCACTTTCTCCCCAACCGCCTCTGTCACCCGGAACCCAGGGTTACTGGGTTCTTGTCACGCCTCACAGAAAGGAATTTCAGGAGTAGACAAACAGTGAAATAGATTTTATTTGGAGGATTTTTAGGGTGTGGAGGGAGAGAGAGTGAGAGAGTAAAGTACTCAAGAGAGAACACGGCTTCTCCAAGGGCAGAGAGAGCCCGCACACACATCCTAGCATTAGACAGAAAAGCATGAAAGTACACATCTCAAGAGGAGAGATGCGGGCAACACATGTGCTCAGCCCACATGTGCTCGGCCACGCGGGCGCAAGCAGCACATGAGCTCACGCAGCATATACACACCCTTTTTCTGTTCAAGGTGTCTTTTATAGGCTCTTCTCAGGTTGTCTTGATCCGGAAGTTTTGGAGTCTTCTCGGGCTAAATCACATTTTAATCAGATTAAGGGAGGTCGGAAGATTTTCGAAAAGAGGAACTTCATGGGGAGGGGGCTTATATCCTCAGGGTCTGCCGATGGTTTTATCAGTTCTTTGTTTTCTCTATCCACAAGGTGGATCAGTCCTAGAATTCTTCTTCCATGAAACTTTGTTAATCCAAGTTTCATTGCCAAGGGCCTTTCCCTTATCTACCTGCCTACCTTACCAGCATTAGACATGAAAGCATGAAAGTACACATCTCAAGAGGGGAGATGCAACTGACACATGTGCTCAGGCACCACATGTGTTTGGTCACATAAGCACAAGCAAAACCTGGGCTTGGGCAGCATATGTGCACCCCTCCTTTGTTCAAGGTGGCTTTTATAGAATATCTTCTCAGGCTGTCTTGGTTTGGAATCTTCTGAAGTCTTCTCTGAACTGAATCACTAAAGGGTGGATCAACCTTAGAACTCTCCTTCCCAGAGATTTTGTTGACTTAAGTTTCATTGCTGAGGGCCTTTCCCTGCTACCTGCCTATATAAGGTTCAGTCTTGGCGGGGAGAGACAGCAGGGAACGCATGGGTGTCCCATCCACACGGCACCCCAATCCATGACTTCTCACTCTCACTCTGTGTCCAGATGGTGCCAGTGCCACCCAGGAACCCACAAGGCTCACAGATGTCCCAGCTGCCAAGAAGTTCATCGCTGCTGCCGAAGTGGCAGTAATTGGCTTCTTCCAGGTTCGTCTAGCGCCCCTCACTTACTCTTGCCACTGGGAGTCCATCTACTCCAGCCCTGATGGTCACCTGGTGGTCAGGTGACCATGACTCATGGCCATGAGCACAATGAGGAATGAGGCAGCAGTGGTTCAACTCAGAGGTCTGCCCAGGTCTGTCCTTTGGAAGCACTCCCACTCTCTGTATTGACTCTCTCTGCTCCTTGCTGCAGATCCTTTGTACCCAGAAGCTCCAGCCACAAACAGGGAACATTCTGATGCTCCCCGGAATCACATTTGTAGATGCTTTAGGGCACAAATAGGCTTGGGCTGCTGGGTCTGACATCAGCGGAAAGTCAGCTCCATTATCCAGAGAGCCTCAGTCCATAATTTCCTCTGTATAAGCCCTTTTCCTTGGCGGGGGCCACATTTTGTCAACTGAAGGCCCTTAGTGCAACTTCCAGACTTGCCACCTGTTGATGAAAGCAGGCCAAAGAAGGCAGGGCCTCTTTTTTTTTTTTCCTTTTATTTTTTAAATAAAAGTCATCTTTATTTTTATTTATTTATTTTTGTTTTGAGCTTGTTTGGAGGTTCTAGCAGGGGAGTGCAGCTACTCGTATACCCTCGACCGAAGACCGGTCCGTCTCTATCGGGGAAGGCCGTCCTCTTCGACCGAGCGCACAGCTTCGGGAGGGACGCACATGGAGCGGTGAGGGAGGAAGGGGACACCCGCCTAGCCAGCCAGATCAGCCGAATCAACCCTGGCGATCAATGGGGTGACAGATGTCGCAGCCAGATCACCCTCACATCCGAGCGATAGCACAGCGGGTAGGGCGTTCGCCTTACACGCGGCCAACATGGCCGACCTGAGTTCGATTCCTCTGCCCCTCTCGGAGAGCCCGGCAAGCTACCGAGAGTATTCGATATGCCAGACACAGTAACAACAAAGTCTCCAATGGAGACGTTACTGGGCCCGCTTGAGCAAATCGACGATCAACGGGAGGGCCTTTACCTTTACCTTGTACCTATTTTTGTTTTGCTTTCTGGGTCACACCTGGTGATGCTCAGGGATTACTCCTGGCTCTGCACTCAGGAATTACTCCTGGCAGTGCTTGGGGGACCATATGGGATACTAGGACTCGAACCCGGGTTGGCCGTGTGCAAGGCTGGGCTATCACTCCAGCCACAACAGGGTCTCTTTCCAGCATGTTCTTCTGTCCTGAGTGGCTGCGCGCATGCTCCTTCAGCCCCTCCAGACTTCTCTGTCTCCCTCCACTAGTTGCAGCACCCCCTGCCCAGTGGGCGCTCAGCTGGAAGGCTGTGCTTGAAGAAGTTCCAGAGGAAGACAAGCACATTTTCCAGTAAACAGAGAGCTCAGCTTTTGACACAAACAGCCCCAAACAGCCCCCCTCTGACTGGCAGTGGCCAGAGAATCCAAAGGAGCTGGGTGTGGGAGCTCTGGTCGCCACCAGAGGCCATCGTCCTTCCACCCTGAGCAACTGTTTTCTGGAGGGAAGGATTCTGAGAAGGGAGATCCATTAACAATTGATTCTTCAGAACCTCAAAGGACTCCACGTAGGCATCCAGCCTGGGGACTTTGGGATCCAGGGGCAAGCAAGAACAGCCAACTTCTTTCCTCTTTCCCTCAGTCCAGAAAGATGTTCAGTAGTATCTGATTACTGGAACTGCAGGGGACAAAGGATCTGTGAGAGCTCAGGGCAGGATGCCAGTTTGGAAGGGAGGGAGCAGCACCCCTGCAACCCCAGGGCCTGAGCTGGTGCTAGGAGTGATCTGTCTCCTGGTGGCCTTCAGGGGGAGGAAGAGAACTATTCTTTCCCACCCCATCAGGTCTCTGGGAAGAAAACACCTCAGCTTCTTTCTCCATTTTTTCCTTCTTCCTCATCGTTGGGGTGTGTTTTGTTTTATTTTGTTTTGCATTTTTTTTCTCCACAAGTATCCTCGTCTCTTTTCCCTCCGGGGATCTATGTATAGCATTGCAGTTCTGCCTTTGAGGTCTTTCTCAGCTAACAAATACCTCCAAGGTAAGTTCTAGGTAAGACTAGGCAAGTGTCCCAGTTTTGCTACCTTTTTAGTTAACTATTAACCCATCCAGCCTGGAAAAATCAACAATTCGACTGGAAATTTAGCCTGCTTCCCCTTTTTATTATTGTTTTTGGACTACACCCAATAATGCTTAGGGACTACTCCTGGCTTTGTGCTCAGGGGTCACTGCTGGCAGTGCTCAGGGGACGAGGCAGTCCAGGACCTGAACCTGGTTCCTGGGCCTGCATGGAAGCGCTCAGCCCATGGAGCTGTCTCCCAGACTACATGCACTCTTACAGAGAATTATGACACTACAGCAAATCTACTCTTTACTTGTACCTGGCCTCCAGGTAACACCCCTCTGAAATATTGTGGGATTTCGTTTTCCCTCTTGTTTTTTTTTTTCTTCAGGATTTAGAAATACCAGTTGTACCCATGCTCCACAGCATGGTGCAAAAGTTCCAAGATGTACCAGTTGGCATCAGCACTGATTCGGAGGTCCTGGCCCACTTCAACATCACGGAAAACACCATTTCTCTCTTTCGGCAGGTAGGTTGGCTGGGCAACTCAAATATTCCTAGGCTATGACTCACAAACTGGTGAGAGTAGGAACCACTCCATGCCCTGACTGTGAAGGACAGAGCTAGAGTTAGGGACAATGACAAGAATGATGGCTCACAGAAGCTTCCCAGCAGACTCCATCGTGATCTGGAAGAACAAGCCTGAGGCTGGTGGAAGACTTTTGAATCCTGCTATACTATGTGATACCTACAGCCAATCAGTTCCCTTGTTTAACTCTTATTGTTTCATCTATATAATAGATTCATCATTTTCCATCTATTTCATAGACAAAAATGTTAGATCTCCTATCATCTTTAAGAAATTAATTTTTTAATATTTTATGACCTGGTTGCCAGCATTTCTTTGTCCCTTTGCCAGCCTTTTTCTATCATAGCTTTACCCTCCCAATTACCAGCAACATACCAGCATAGTGGTAAAATTCCATAATTTCCCAGTACCAGTGTTAGGACCAAAGGCCACCCCTCAATATTTGGAGAGACAAAGAGTCCAGCAGTATTGCAAACTGCACATCGAGATTTTATTTTACCAGCTAGATGGAGCCGAGGTGTCCTGACTTCACAGTCAGGTCGGAGCTCGAAGAAAAACAATTCTAAAGGCAAAAGTAACTTACAAAGAGTCCAAAGGCATACAAAAGCAAATTACCAAGAAAACAAACATTCCCAATTAAGAAGACATTCCCAGTTCCCATCCATCAAGAGAGCATCTTATCAGCTAGACACGAAAGCATGAAAGTCCTCATCTCAAGCAGGGAGATGGGGGCAACACATGTGCTTGGCCACGTGGGCACAAACAACACATGGGCTCGGGTAGCATATGTGCGCCCTTCCTTTGTTCAAGATGGCCTTTATAGGTTTCCTCCAACCTACCCCCATGTGAGTTTCTACCTAGATAAAAGTCCATTGCTAAGGTGGTTACCAGGGGGGTTGGGAAAGGTGATGGTCTTCTTTGAAATTCTTTTCCTGGCCTTATGTACCTGCAGGAGCTTCTCTAGGTCTGTTGTTATAAACTGGTTAACTCAGTTAAGTCATTTATCCCTCTTGGCCAGATCTGCCTCCTACAAGTTTTACGATCAGGGTGAGAAGAGGTAAGCTAGCTGCTTCTCACATTCCCCTTTTCCTAGCATCTAACCGAGGAATCTTCTGCTTCTCACATCCCCCCTATTGGGCTGGGATCACCAGTTGACCTACTATTACTCTATACTGTCATACCTCTATTTTCATTGACCATCAACAGTGTGTATATTGTATTTCCATGTATTTTTCAAATATCAGCCCATTAGATCATAGTTTTTTCAAAGGCAAGAATCACCACTTACTCATCTTTATACTCCCCAGAATCTCTGCCATAGATTCTTGGTACTTAGAATGCCCTCAAAAAGTCTTCTAGTTTCAGAAGTCTTCTAGAACTCTCTCACCTCCAAAAACATGTCTGAAGGAGTATGAATTCCTTCAAGGCTGAGCCTCCACCACACACAAGGTCTGCACTTTCTTCATTGTGAGATAGGATTGAAACAATCCCTTTTGTGACAAACTCTAGCTAGAATATGTAGAAGGCCAAGATAGCACCATTTGTGTCACCCTCCAGCCTTGGGTAATAACATTTCAATGCAAACAGTTTAATAACCTACAGTTTCAGTGGGTAGGGCATTTGCCTTGCATGCGACCAACACAGCCAACCCGAGTTCGACTCCTCCACCCCTCTCGGATAGCCCAGCAAGCTACCGGGAGTATCTCACCCGCACCGCAAAGCCTGGTAAGCTACCCATGACATATTCGATCTGCCAAACACAGCAACAAGTCTCACAATGTTACTGGGCCCACTCAAGCAAATCGATGAACAACGGGAGGACAGTGACAGTGACAGACAGTGTTAAGTAATTTAGGGTACCTGTCTTAATTGCTAGGGCTGCCCTCCAGCCGTAGCACAGTGATAGGGCGTTTGCTGTGCATGCAGCTGGCCCAGCTGAGCCGGGTTCAATTCCTCTGCCCCTCTCGGAGAGCCCGGCAAGCTACCTAGAGTATTTCGCCCGCACAGCAAAGCCTGGCAAGTTGTCCGGGACGTATTCAATATGCCAAACACAGTAACAACAAGTCTCATGATGGAGATGTTACTGGGCCCACTTGAGCAAATGGATGAATAATGGGAGGACTGTGACCATGACCGTCTTAATTGTGGCTGTGCAGCCAACCTAGATTCTGTCCCCGGCACCCTATATGGTTTCCTGAGCCTGTGAGCAGTGATCCCTGAATACAGAGCCAGAGGTGAACCCTGAGTACTGCTGGGTGTGGCCTCAAATCAAAATCAAGAACAATTTATTCTTTACCAAGCCCTGTGATGACTTTCCAGAGTCGTTCACTCCTCTTTAGTATCTGGGCTTTTTGCTGTTTCCCTGTTCTGAATGAACTCTGGGGACCTCCATGGGCAAGATTACTAATGTTTCACACCAAACACAAACATTCTGGTTCCTGCCCGTTTCCATGGGCAGATCTGGGAGAAGTTCAACTTAAGCCATGCCAGCTTTTAGAGAAAAAAATTTTTTTCAGTTTACATTTTAAGAGAGACTCTTTTTTTTTTTTTTTGGAACTGGGAAATGTGAGGTTGTTACAAATTTTCTGCTACCTGTTTTCATCGTAGAGCCATAGTTCATCATGTTTGGTTGGTTGGTTTTTGGTTTTAGGACCCAATTTATGATGGGGATTGTACTCAATGCTTTCCAACAGTTTTATTTAATTTTCACTTGAAGCTGATAGAATAATAATTATTATTTGTGCTTTATTTTTACTTGAAGCTGATGAAATAATAATTATTATTTGTGCTTTATCAGTAAGGAAGCAAAAGTTCCATAAGAGCAGTCCAGTTACTCAAAAACTTACAAATATTGAGTCACAGACATCTGACATATGTGCAGTATTGCTAAATTCAAAACATACCTTCTCTGTTCTACCATCATTTTCTAAAGTTCATAACCCTGAAGAAAACCTTTGTTTTCATTCCTAGATTCTATCTACTCTAATAGCCCTAATTTTAATGTCTACTCTTTAAAAAAAAAAAAAACCCTTTCTTTTAAGCCATTACCACCCTGGCACTACTTAATCAAATCCCAGAGTCTCTCCTCAAGATGTAATCTAAGCAATACATATTTGGGCATAGAAATTGCATGAATTTGGGTGAATTTTCTATTGGAAAAACATAGAGATATATTGAAATAATAAATTAAATTATAATGGGACTACAATGAATAGGTTACTGAGTGCTTAAAATGTTGGATAAGAGACCAGAAAACATAATATTCATAAAGATATACTCTAAAATGATTGTGTATTAACTATAAAATTAAGTGATTAGGAGAAATGTAAGTAAAATGGAAAAGCCTTAAGTTGTGATGACAACCTGTTTGTTGTGTGTGTTGTCTTGAACTTTTAAGTGTAATTGTTGGGAGATGTTCCATACTCTCTACCAGAACTCTTACTGTTGCCCAAGTAGAGGCAGGCAGAAGCCTGAATTTAATACACATTGAACCTGTTCTGAAATGGAATGTCAGATCTTATTTGAATGTTTGTCCTGCTCTGATTTTTCTCAATCACTCCTATTTTAAGAAATATAATTTTACTTAACCTTGACCCAAGGGGACAGTAAAGAAAACACCACAAAAGCATTCTTTCATTCCTTTTACAGTTACTTACTGGGCATCTATTATAAGAAATGCACCTTGCCAAACAAAGAGAACTAGCAGGAACTAGTGCATAAAAATAAACTTTTAAAAATGCAAGAAGAATGTCAAATTATTATTTTCCCTAAAGCATATACGGTAAGCTGATCCAATTATAAAAACAAATTCAGAAACTCATGAGGACATTTGTTTTGCAAATGGTTTTTCAGTACTGACCAAGATATTTAGTACTATAACTTGGATGTAAATTAAGATGATTTTAACATATTTTGTGAAAACCCAGTTGCTAGAGGAATCTGCTTAGAATCCAAAGGAGCATTGCTAAAATTCTAATAAATAGAAAAAGAATATTATATCTTTCATTATAGTATAGTGTACAGAACATTGCAATATTCTTTTGGAACTTCAATAATAGATTTTAAAAGGGCAACTAGTTTTCTGTGTTGTTGTTGTTGTTGTTTTTCCTTTTCCAGTGCCTCCTTTCTTTGGGCATGGAGGATAGACTATCTTAAGTAAATCTACTTTCAAAAGCTGGAGAGATATATTTAAAAATTTCCCCCAACTCTTGATCCCAGGGTCAAAATATTTTCCAGTGCTCTATGCAAATAATTCCCTTTGCTGAAGGGAGATTTCCTGTTCAAATGCTGTTTCCAGAAATTTTATACACAAATGTTCCAGGGTTTGTTAGTTTAAGCAATAGTGAAATAATCAGGCATGTTTCCTTAAAAGAAGCACTGCAAACTGAACAGTTAGTTTTCCAGGGGTGGTTTTGATGAAAGCTCCTTGCTTCTTAGAGAACATTGTTGTCCACGCTGAAAAGACACTGCCTCACTATTCACCTGGAGGGATGGTCTTTCCCGCTCTCCCTCTTCTGGGAAATGTGAGGAGCTGCCAGGGAAAGAACAGAGGAGGGGGTGCACCTGCCCAGCACAATATTAGCTGAAGCCTTCCATTTTCTAAAAAAAAATAATCTGGAAACAATACATTTCAGATAGCGGTTTTATTTTATTGGGGGCCTCCATTTTTTTTTTTTTGCTCTTTGGGTCACACCCAGAGATACTCAGGGGTTACTCCTGGCTCTGCATTCAGGAATTACTCCTGGCAGTGCTTGGGTGACCATATGAAATGCTAGGAATCGAACCCGGGTCGGCCGAGTGCAAGGCAAATGCCCTACCTATTGTGTTATTGCTCCAGCCCCTCCATTAATTTTTTGAGTTGACAGGTACTGGGAGAGTAAGCGGGTGCAGATCAACATGATGCGAGATGAAGCTAAGGGCCTCTCAACATGTGAAGGGGG